GTGGGGGGCGTGCAGGAGGCAGCTGATCCATGATCCTCTCATCATTGATGGGTCTCTCTCTCTCTCTCCCCCTCTCCCTTCCTCTCTGAAATCAATAAACATATATTTAAATAAAGAAATACACTATCTCAGTGACAGTAACCCCCGGAATGCCGGCCGCACCTCCCGCTCTCACACCTGAGACTGGGACACTTTTAATAACGTCCATTCCATTCCAGCTGCACTGTGGCCGAAGAGCCAGATGGCAGCCCTGGGACTCACCGGAGTCCAAGTCAGAACGAGTTCAAGGGAATGACGTTGCTGTGTTCCGCCTTCACGGATGGAACTATGAGCGCACGGCCCGTGGCGAGTGTCTCACCACGAAAGCGATGTCTCGCGTCTCCGATGGAGTCAGCACCGATCAAAGGAAACTCCCTCTACTTCCGGCCTCGGCTGCTGGAGCTGGCCTCTCGGTAATTACAGCGGGGCCGCGCACGCCCCGATCATACAGACACACTGTCCCCGGAGCAGGGAGGTGCTGGGAGTCTGACTTCGTAAGAAAGGAAAAGCTGCGGGTAACTGTAGAGGAGACGGCTCCGTCAGCACAGAGGCCCTGCCGCCCGGAGCTCCAGCCATCCGCCGGTCTCGGGTTCTACCCCACCATCTCATTTCCCTTATTAACCGAAAAAAAAAGAGTTTAACTTGCTTATTAACACAGAAGTTATTAAAAAGCCATTATTAATTAAGGGAGAACAGAAAGATGTCTAAACTTGAGCTTTCATTAAAGGACAACATCAAAGTCAATGTAAAAACGGGAAATTGGTGTTTTTTTATTGCCCCGAACAGGCAGAAACGTGCGTTTTTACACTGACGAGACTCTACCCACACACTCCAATAATGCAAGTATTCAGACTGGATTTTCCAATAAGTCTGACAAGTACCATTTCACGTGAAGCTATTCTAGATCCAAGGAAAACGCGAATCTTTATATGCAACAAAAAAAGGATATTCTTAACAATAATGTTTTGGAAAATGAGGGCATTTGTCTGGGCCCAGGGATTTGCTTGGCGTATCCCTAGTAACAAAACCAGTCATAAGGCCGCCACTCGGAGCAGGGACGTGATACAACGGATCTTTCCGGCCCGCTTCGCAGGCTCCCTCTAACGATCAGTCTTCTCGCCAACGCAGTGCGTGTCCCTCCCAGCACCCACCAAGCCCGGTTCTCCAGCCAGCTGCTCCGGGGGGCCCCTGCCCGGCTCTTATCTCACCATTTCTTTGCTCTCCTCGTGGAAACTGTATACAAGCCACCCAGACCGTCCACTCGGGACAATGAAGACCCGCCCGCCTTGGGGTGGACAACTGGTTAGTCACAACCACAGTCTACACGTGAACAGCTTATTACAAACTCTACTTGTTAACATTTTATTGTTCTCGCAACCTGCAAATCATTGCACCGTTCCTGGGGGAGCCCCTCCCGCGGGGCTTCCTCGTTTCACGGATAAAGACAGTTCCAGTTGTTGCGTGGAGCTACGTGCTGTCCGACCCACACGCGGCCCTGCCACTGCGCACCCTGCCTGGCTCGCCATCACCCAGCAACTGTTCTTCCAGGGCTCAGGTCTCAGGGTGATTCACTGCTCCAGGCACCTTCCCTCCTTCCCTCCTCCCGGGTCCCTTCTGTTCAATTTGCAATAATAGGAGGGGACGTCCTCTTTAGTCCTGTCATTCACGTCTTCCTGGCTGTGAGGCGGGGTGCTCATGTGATGTTTGCCTGTTAAAATGTATCAAGCCCTGGCTGGTGTGGCTCAGTGGCTAGAGCATCAGCCTGCAGACTGAAGGGTCCCGGGTTCGAATCCCGGTCAAGGGCACATGTCCGGCGTGCAGGAGGCAGTCAATCAGTGATTCTCTCTCATCATT